AAACTGGTAATCTTAAACTAGCTACTACCAATGAGTTTAAAATGAAAGTTGACAAAGTATCAAGAGTAGGAGGAAGAAAGGTTTTAAGAAATTTCTGTCATTTACATCAAAATAGAAATACCATTGAAATAAGACAGGAAAATAACATGCTAAATAAGTATACAGACTACAAAGGAAGTGCTGTCATGTTTTTGTATCTTTTAAATTTCATTTTAATTTTTCTTTTGCATTAGTACACAATTGCAGTATATAATGATTACACTCCTTGTGGGGAGTTGGTAAATGCACATAACACATCTTCTTTTTTCAGTCACCCATCTCTTGGTTCCAATCCCTTTTACAAAAGATCTCCCTACAACCTTATTGTCTACATTTTATTTTACTAGTTAAAGAGTTTGGTTTTCTTCAATACTTAAAATTGTGTGCCTGTTTAACTTAAATTATGGTCTCAGAGTGCATCCATTTTCCTGTTTGTATCTTTAAAATGTCATAAGCAGTACACAGGCAGACATAAATGTTAGTCATAGTGCTGTCTGTCAACTATTGCCATATTTACTGCCCTTTTAGAATCACGGTAGAATTGAATTTTATTCTTTGTGATAAATGGGGACACATTATTGGTTCCGGCCAACGAGTTCAAAATGACAAGATAAGGTCTTTCGCACTTCCTTCTCCCTCACATGGAAATTGACAGTCTAAGATGTGAGCTGTTCTGCTAGGCTGGGACCTGGAGGGACTAGGGTAAGTGAAGGCTCATGCCTAACTACAGGAAACAGACCACACAAACAAGAAATAAAACCCTTTGATATCCCAGGCCTTTCATCTGTTACTGCAGCATAACTAACCTACAAGAAAATCTTCACAAAAATTCAAAGACTTTCTCCCCCAAAAAAGGACATACTACATTTCTATAGAAAGGAAGTGTTGAAGCTGAGGCAAGAAGATGGCTCTGAGTTTGAGGCTAGCCTAGACTACAAAGTAAATTCAAGGTCAGCCTGAAGTGCATATCAAAGGGCCATCCAGATAGCTCAGCTGACTGCCTACTTAGGCAGAGTGCAGCAGCTGGGGTTTAATCCCCTGTGTGCCATACCAGCCCTGGGGTGGGGCTGGCACAGCATGCAGGGAATCAAACCCCGGCTGAGGCGCTCTAAGAAGACAATTTCTTAGAATAATTCAATATCTGCCCATACACGTCCATGTACACATCCTATTAGCTCTATTTCTCCAGAGAACCCAATTAATATCTACAGACAGCTTCTCTCAAGGTATAAAATACACATGAAAATAAGAAGAGAAGATTGTTATATTTAATACCTGGGATAATGGTCCTTTTATTAAAGCATGTTTTTTTTTTTTTTTTTAACTGACAAAAGTTATATATATTTCTAGTGGTGCGGGAGATGGCTCAGTGGAATAAGCGCTGCCCTGGCAAGCGCAAGGGCCTGAGTTCAAGCACCGGTTCCACCAAAAAAAAAAAAAAAAGTTATATATATTTCTGATGTACAATATGATATTCTCAAATATGTAAACATTATAGAATGGCTAAATCAAGGTGATTAATAAATGAATACCTCACATACTTATCTTTTTTTTTTTTCAAATAAAGTCTGGAACTTAGTGAATGTTTTTTTAAAAAAATTTATTTTACTTATTTATTTATTTTTGTGTGTGTGTATGGCCAGCTCAGCCCACCTGGGGGCAGGGCATGTGGTGCTGGGGGATTGAACCGCAGTCCCTGTGCTTTGCTAAGCTTGCTCTAAGTAGGTGCTGTAGACCACTGAGCCATCTCACCAGCCCTATTTATCTTTTCTATGTATGTAGTAACAACACTTAAAAATGTTATACTCTTAGCAATTTTTGTCCAGAGTAAAAGTAAAGAGGAAGTAGAGTGATCATTTCAAAGGACAAGGATGGAGGGGGAGGAAGAGTAGAGGGGTAAAGGATGAATGAAAGGAATTGGGAAGTGTCATGAACATGTACCAACTTCATACAAGGATTGCAAACATTAGGTACTACACACATGTACTAATTAAACTAAAACAAATTAAAAAGCAAAAAGAACACAACATAGTTATTAACTATGTCACCATATTTTGCAATTCAACCTTGAGCTTATTTCTTTCAGTGTAACTGAAATTTTGTATCCTTGGATCAACATACTTACTACTCACCTCATCAGGATGTATATTTATTTCAATAAAATGTTATCACTAGAGCATGCAAAGTTTACTGCAAGAGTCTACACAGATGTTCTCTTGGTTATCAACTTTTACCACCATCTACTGGTGGCTATTCAAATCCAGGGCATGTTACCTAGGAAACTCTGAAAATCCTGTAAAAATTATTCAGTAATGAAAGGTTAAATTTTAATAATGAAATCATATTGCAAGTAGTGGGAATTATTTATAAGTGAATCAGTTTAACTAGAAATAGAAGTGAGGACATTGTGAGGAAACTCTGGAAACCTAAAAAAGAGGTCTGAGGGAGTTGATGATACAACTCTTAATTTGGGCCTACAGGTAGGCAGAGAGTCTCTTTATGTTCTGTGCTAGCAATTAAGCTACTGTCACAATGATACAAACCTACCCTGACCTATCTTCTCTATTTTCTGATGCTGGAATATACACTGCCAATTCTTCTTTTTGTAGCTACGTCCTTTTGTTTTCCCCAATGACAAGTATTCAACAGCAGCGAATAAAAGAATGGGTTCCGTATTTCTCTTAGTACACTTAAGAGCATTACTCCAATACTCCAATACTAGTTCTAACTAAAGCAATGGTAATTGGTTACTGTCTTCAGTCCATTTTTGGCCTTTCTAGAATGTCCCGGTTCCCAGTCAGCAATGCCATCAGCAGCTAAGCAATGTTCTTTTCTCAGAGAACTAAGTCCCAGTGCTAGTAGGCTTTCTAAACATCTAGATTCTGCTATCATCAATCTTGTTTGTTCTCATAGCCCAAAAGATGGCAACTGTATCTTTAAGTCATTATTTCTACATTATCTCAATATGCCACTTTTGCTTTTCCAATTCTCTAATCTCGGGGCCAGGGAGATGGCTCAGTGGAATAAGTGCTTGCCTGGAAAGCGCAAGGACCTGAGTTCAATCCCCAATTCAACAAAAAAACAAAACAAAACAAAACTCTTTTTTTTTTCCATGTCATAAATAAATTTTTATTGTTCATCTATTATATGCCAAATACTTCAGGATGAGGGACACAATAGCAAACAAATCAGACAAGAGTTCTTACCCTTGTGATACATTCT